TATTAATGCCATTTGTTAGAACATTATAAGAAAGTAGACCAACAAATTAACATATAGCATAGTGGTTTGGACTGTAATGATAGTCCAGTGTATGTAGCTATAATCTATAGATTCGTGTGGCACGAGAGAAGGTAGATCTAATTTGACTCTGAACTAAGTGTTTATTTAGAAAAGCTTAAAAAGATGATGTCAAAATCGACAATGAAAATCCACGTTACATTGAACCCATTATTCCTCCACTCATTTTGTAGATCCCAACAGTCCTTTTTGTGGGTTCTCCATTTTATTAAAACCTGCTTTTTGAGTTTTCCAAATAAGTCACACACCTAATAGTTGCTCTGTTTCTCCATGGATGGCCTTCCTAGAGCACATTGAAAACAAGAGTGTTTACTGCTACTATAGACTCCCTTTAAAGCTCTCTTACCTGTATTGTTCCTCCAGAATTCAGCCAAATTTCAAGTCCTAGCAGAAACTAAAAATGAGCAATGCTTGCAACATACTGAATCACACAACATTACTGAAAACCAAATGTTATTCCAATTATTACTAGAAGACTTACTATATCACGACTCGATTATTGAAAACTACTCCATTTATCAAAAATAAGCAGTGATGAGTTTCTAGGTTGTTCCCTAAACTTCCTTTGCATCGAGTACTTAGTTTCTGATGCAGACTCGACAGATTTGCTTCAATAATGGCAACTCAGTGTTCTTCTAAATGCCCTTAATTTCTCGTTAGCTTTGTGGCCCTTGGTTTGGACCTGTGCTTTCATTCTTGCTTCATCAAAGAACTGTGTACAAAGTTGCAGAAGAACAAAAATGTTAAATCAGAAATGGGACTTCAGTAATCATTGTCAAAACTCAGAACTCGAGTTGACACATGTTGACAGCCTTTGCAAAATCCGTTTATCCTCACGGGAGAGAGAATGTGTTAAGCTATTCTAGGTTGAATCTTCTCGTCTAAAGGCTTAAACTAATAGAATAAGCCATTTGTACAATAGATTTGTACAACATGCTTGACATGGTGTAGGTGTCAAAAAAGTGTTGATGGGAAAGACAAACTGTCCAATGATAACCTGTCACGTAGCATGTTGTCAAACTTGTTGTAAAAATCATTGTACAACAAGCATGATTCTAAACTAATAGGGTGGAACGAATTTATTTTATCTCATAGCAGCAATTTAAGAATACACAAAAAAAGTACACTTCAGTAAGATCATTTACCTGCTGTTTTCTTTTCATCTCTAGCTCAGCCTGTTGAGAGTATAAACTTTAACAGTGATTAACCGGGGTCCAAAAGTAAGCATATTATGTCAAATGAAACTAATCCAAGATGGATTAAAATGAAAAGGCTTGTGGAATTGAGTTTAAATTAACTTTATAATATCTCCATAAGCCTACTCTGAAATATTTGATTACCAGACCCATCTTTAGGTGTGTGTTCTCTTCTTTCAACTGGTTCAATTCGGCTTCCAATTCAACAGTGTAGGCCTGCCAAAACAACATAAACATGAAATAGGAAATTGTCAAATGTCAACTACCAAGCGAATTATGGAAACCTTATCAACTGTGTCTAATACTTCCATATGCTGGTGAGTTAGAGAGAATAGCACGCTGAAGAAGATGAATACCTGCTTCCTTGCTCTAGATCGTGCAGCGGACTCACGATTTTTTATCATCCTTCGTTGTCGCCTCTCCACCACCTTCTCAACCGGACCATCTATGGTCATCTTCCGCCCTCCTCTCACACCAACCGTATCCAATCTGTACGGATTCCCACTATCTATCTGATTAGTAAATAATCCTTCAGATGAAAACCGGACTCACAGGTGAACCCATCCCAAGGCCCTGCTTTTGCCGGTATCCTACTCCACTGCCATTTCCCATGCTCCCGCTGTAGACTGCCGATGGTAGCTGTGCATAACCAGGACCTGTTTTCATCTCCCCGGGGAAGCCTGCCACCTCCCCGATGTTACTCTGTGGAAGCGCTTGATAAGTTGCAACATCAGCAACAGCACCACGACCAACATTCCTTGTAGGCCTAGCAGCAAAAGTTGATCCAACTTTATGATTGTTGCTATTCAGGTAAATTCCATATGGCTGCTGCTGAGGTGGTGCAGTAAGCTGATCCTGTTCCCGTACAACACCGGCTTTAACCAAGAAATCTTCTAATGTCATCTCTCCAAACGTGGGCTGTTGCTGAGTAGAATTGGGATTCTGAATATCTTGCTGCTCACTATTGTTCTGTTGTTGTGTGTTATAAATTTCAGACCACACTTCATCCACTGTTTTCCTGCACAAAGGCTCTGGAATAGTGAGAGAGCCTTGTCTCGATAAGCTGTGTTGCTTAGCTATGCCCTTATCTGTCGGATTATTATTACTTTCACGTAGGAAAGATTGTGCCGCATGGACACTGGTTCCAGTGTCCAAATGCTCATTTACTTGCACTTGATTTTCTTCGGCAGTCCATATGCTGTTGAGAAATTCATCCATATTCATGGATCCAAAGTTCTTGCCACTTTCACAAAGAGTGTGTTGAAACTCATCGAGGGTGAGCGAGTATATAGATGATTGTCTGCCTAGTGATGGAGAGGGCTGGTTCTTTGACTGCTGTTCACTTGATTGTAATTGCAATTCCACCTCTCCTGGGGACATGATGTCAGAATCTGCGGTGACCAATTTGAGTTTTCGGTATCAGAATTCTTCTATATATCTCTGTGCTTAAGATTTGGATGAAAATAAATTCAATTTTACATCGATTATATTCTGTTTCTCGTATTACGAGTCTTAGCTATGCCAATCTATGATTCATGCATATAAATGGAAGTAAGGAACAGAATCATACCATAAGCTGGAAAAATTATAAACACGAAACAACTCCGTTTACTAACAGAGTAAACCATTAGTCTGGCAATATCTAAGTTTTTTGCTGAAAAATTTCAGATTTTCATTTTGAAGGAATTCAGATAAAAATAAGAAGCTAGTAAACCAGTTGAAGTTCGTACTTCCTCCTAAGAAAAATAATATCTGTAAGAACCAAATAAAGTCAATCATAAGTCAGCGATATGTCCTATCTGATCAGTATCCAAATAAATTTAAATTCCAAGTGCAAAAACAATGACTAAATTCGGCTTGATTGGCAAAGAGGGAATGAAGAATGTCGAGAACGAAAGTTCTCCTGCGCAACTTCTTTAAACTATTTTATTTTATTTTATTTTTATGTAACATGTCATCCCATAGATCAACGATAATCTCCAAATCATCGGATGAACTTTGGCTTTTGATTCATACAAATCTGTCCAATTTTCAATTGTCTCAACCTCATAATATGCTAGAGTTGATCTAATTGTAATATATGGGAATGATCTCCTAAGCACCGGTGGTTAGGAGATAATTCTTGTTGTAATATTTATTCCAAAATTTATGATTTACCAAGAATTTATTCCATCGTGATATACATTATTCTTGGAGAAATACATAAATATAAATCAACCAAATTCGTCATTGATAATTTCAGACAATAAACTTGCCAAAAATTTCGAGAAATGCACTATACAAAATACAAGAACAAAAACTTGTGTAAGTACAATTTGGACCTTACTAGATGACAATATTAACGAAGAAAAATAGTGTTAAAAATTTAAAATCTTGTTTATTATACTGTATAGTACCTTGTACTAAAAATTATACGGATGGTCGGGATGGATTGCTATGAAATTGTGAAAAATACCTTCCTAGGGTTCACCAGAGCAGGTAACAAATCCTCAAAGCAAGCTGCGGACTAGACTCAGTACAGAAGAAAAGTAAAAGATAGATACAACTGATGAAGAACCCTAATACATTCACATGCAGATATACATGTATGTATAGGCTATAGCTATATCTTGATACAGAAAATTGAGAAGAAGAAGAAGAAGAAGAAGAAGATGATGGGTTTTATTGCTAAACTCTGAACACAAATCTTGCAAATGAACTTCGGGCGGACGATGATCTTGGCTGGGATGGGGGGTGCGTAGGGTTGGGGTTAATGGTGGGCCCAAGAGAGGTAAAAAAAAAAAAAAACCAAAATTTTAAGGAAAAAATTTAGGTACTTCCCATACTAACAAAAGAAAAGGAATTGAAGAATGATATTTGCATGGGATTGACACATCATGGACTCGTGTCTTCACCATGGCTTCTAATGCAGGCCTCGGCTCTTCTGAGGTTCACACCTGTCCTCTGCTGCATTTCCATGCAGATAAAACTCACGTGTGGGATCTATTCGAAAGGGCCGGGCCTCACATGGAAGACAGAGTTGTACCTTTATTTTTCATTTTTCTTATATAATTCGAACTGAGACTTGTACTCTCTTGGCTTTTCTTGGCCTTCTGGGTCGAATAACTTTTCTCTACTTTTTAATCATATATTTTTCAAAAAAGATACTAATTTCTGTTTGATTTAGTCCCTATTTGATTCAATTTTATCTCCAAATTCATTTTTAATAATATATTTTTCGAAACTTATAACGTTTATAAAATTTTCAATTGTAGTATCATCATTTTTTTTTTTTTATCTAAATTTACTATAAATTTAATTTTTATGTATGTGGGTTAGATTGGATTAGTTTTCAACGTTCGACATAATTTCCATGGTCCCATAATAAGTTTAACCAAACTGTTACTTATTATGCAAAAAATATGTTGAGGTCACAGTAATTGAGGATTTACAATTATTAAAAACATTTTAATGATATGTCGACTAAATTCCTATTCAGATTATTTTTAATCATTATTGGTAAGAGTGAATGAAATGAAAAGTTAATAAAAGTTATGAATCCTATAAAATGTGTAGTTAAATTGAATTTGAAAAGAAAATAAAGTTTCAAAAATGGAGATCAAAAAGAGGAGCTTAAACTTGTAAAAGGATTAGAGATGATCTTCTTATGAACTTGTGTTGAGTCGAGTCGAGCTTTGTAATTGTTAAGCATGTTACGCTTGATGGCCAATAGGCCTATCCTGAATAGGCTAGATAGAGACTGACCAGGGCAGTCACCTTCACTTCCATTACTGATCAATTCAAATGAAAATTGTAGCTCATATATAACATCATGTCTCAAACAAAAATTGTCACAACATACGAGATTTCAAATCCCGAGGTAATGATGCACTAGAACAAGTGTAGACCCAACATCTCTGCAGAAGACGCGTCTATGCAGCGCCTAAAAGTGTTTTGATGATCGAGTCTGCCATTCCATCAGCATATGGAAACATGTGTCCAGCGCCGGGTAGCTCATGATACTGAATCCATGGCAGCTTCTGGACAATGTAACGTTGTGGTTTAACAGGGACAAGTTTATCTTCATCACCCTGCCATAAGTGAATCGAACCTTCACTTTCTAAAAAGGGGTTCTCCAGATCCGTAGGATCAAATTCCCAGGTCCCAAATCCAATCATCAAATCTCGATGAAGGGATACAAAATCTCCTTGCTGTCTAATCTGTGCCTGGCCATGTCACAAAAGTAAAAATTCACAAGGAAAATGTTAGTTTTCGAAAAGAAAATGGCACGAGTTAAATTGAACAAGAAAGTTGCCAAGGAAAACGACTTGAATGCAAGTTAAATTGTCTTTTTTGGGTCTTACGGAGAAAATGGAATCGTAGAATCGAAATGTAGCTACATATTCAATGCACATGCAAAATTCTCAAGGAAAACATGTGATCGTCATTTGGTTAAAAAGACCTCGCCTTTTGACAAGAAGGTTTCTTGCATTTATTATGATTTCAATGCCATTTTTTATGCTGTGGGCTACACCTCTCGCTAATTCTATGTAAAGAGCAAAGGCTGTTAGTGAGGATAACAATGGCAGAGGATTGTTGCCACTGTAAAGAGCAAAGGCGGTAAGTGAGGAAAACAGTGGCAGAAAAGCACACCACTGTCATTTTTGGTTTTGTTTGGGGGTACTTTGGGTATCAGGGAATGGCTGGCCTAATCCCCTTTTTTTTGGTGGGTTAATAGGACGTAGAGGAGTGGGGAATCATGTGACTTTGACAATGGGAAGTCCTATGGGAAAGATGTTTGTGGGAATCTATTGTACAAAAAAAGAGACTGGGAACAAATTCAGCAATCCAAATTTACAATTCATTCTCAGCCCATTCCCTCGTACAAATGCCATTCTAGGTTTCTGCACCTGTCATTTTACCTACAATGCAGCACAGACTAGAAAAGAAGTAGCCAATAATTACTTCCACATCAGACTGCAAACTATTCTTTCAATGAAGAAGAACGAAGAGAAAAGTAAAACACAAGCAAGAATTATAATTTCTTCTGAGATAGAATTTGCTATATTCATGTATGATACAGGGGCCAAGGAGTCAAAATCCATTTCGAATATCTTATGATACTCGTTGCAAAATTTAGTGTCAAATTTATAGTAGAGACGTATCATGTCGTGTAGCTGATACAGTGATACTCTTGTGTATACTGTAATTCAAGTATTTTATCCTAGGATGCACATTTGATTATGCAATACAATCATATTCTTACAAAATAGCAAGTCCAAATAAATCCGCAGATTAACTCATCTGGAACAATGAAATTTCCAAAAAAGTGAACAATAATATTTTGAAAATTTGCAGACATAGGAAAGATGTATGATGATAACTATTCTGCTTTATGACATGCATTCAACTGTCAAATAAAAGTAATACTTGTGATTTATATGTAATGTGGATATATTTCTCTAGTTTGACAGATTACATGTTATTTTGAGTTTAATACCCATACTTCTAATTGCTTTTACAAAATATCTCACAATAACTAACAGCTAACGCTTTAATACACAGGTATGATAAACAGTTTCTAATAATTTCAATAATACATTTAGACATATTCATAGAATAAATGTAAAGACTTCAAAATCAACTTTATTTGAGCAGAAATACTTTCCGGTAGATAACCATTAAATATGATTTCTTTTGTTAATTACATTCAAATACATTTATTTAGATGTAAAAATGATTGGGGAATTAACATGCTGTTCATCATTATTTAGCCACACAGTATGCATGAAAGAATATACATCACAATTACCTGATACTCCCCCACCATAGATTGAATCCTAGGCATAAGTTCTCTGTCCTGGTGGGAGAAAACTGCTGGGTTGTGATCTACAAGACTAAGACGCGGAAATAATTTTTGAGTGTTCCACCAGTGGGTAAGCCATGGCATGTGGTGAGAAACACGGAGAGCCCATCGATCTTGTGGAAGCTGCTGATCATAGGCTTCTTTGGACAAGTTTGAAGGTAAACCAGGCCACCAATAATTGATGACTGGTGCCAACAGCGCTGCTCCTGCCAATCTGTTCAAAACACAGTCTTATATGAGATGGATAAAAATAAAGGCTCTCACTTGAAAAAAAGCGTGACCACGTTAAGTGACGTTGCATATAAAATAGTTTCACTATTTTCCTAACATGTTTGGCTTAGCTTAAAGAAATTACTTGTAATTAAGTTCTATATAAATAATTCTTTTTATTAGTTGAAGTTGGTAATCACTACTTATTTTCACAACAAGGTAAGAGTTGCTTACAAAATAAGTAACTTTTCTACAAAGTAAGAAAATAGTAACATATCCAAACATGTTCGGAAAGAAAAAGTAACTTACAAGAAAATTTCTTTAGCTCAATATGTTACCGAGAAGTTAAAAGTAACATGCCAAAACTTCATTTTAGTTGAAAGTAAGAAAAGTAACATATCCAAACATGTTCGCAAAGAAAAAGTAATGTTTATTTGTTTTTAATCTTAGCCAAATATGCTCTACACTTTTGTGAAACCCCAATATATATATAAAATGGAGAGTACTATACCTGTGAGGAATATACTTGAGGCAGGTCCATACCACCTGTCCTCCCATAGAAAATCCAACAATATAGAATTTGGATCCCAAGCCCAACTTATCTGCAAGCTCCTCAATGTCAAAAGCGGTACTCCTAACTGTTTGTTTCGGGTTAGGATCACTTTCTGCATAACCTGGTCTGTCAAATGAAACAACATAGATTCCTTGACTTTCAACAAGATCCTGCACGAATATCAACAAAAGTACAGTCCACATAATATTTTATATACTATACATAGATACTCAGAAATCTACCAAGCCATGCAAGAAAAACGTTGTTACCGGGGAGATATATGAGGTTATAGCAGAAACACTAAGTCTGCAATTATCAAAGCCATGGACAAAGATTATTTTATACTTCGCCTTATCCTTTGGGACACCATATTCTTTGTAAGCCAAGTGTCTCCCATCATTAAGTTGTATTCTGGATGCTGTAATGGGAGGTCCATCTGGCGAGCCACATTTTTTGGGAAGAGGAGGCCGAGTTGCCTGATAAGCCCATGCCAAAAACCCGATGAAAGAAACCAATAGAATTTTCTTGAACACCCCTGAAATGTTTTAGTTCCAACAGAAAATTGATAAAGAAGCTGGGTCCAAAATTATGTGTGAATTGGAAAGGTATTTTCATTGGGATGATTAGAGGATGATTCAATAATTAAGCACTATTAAACCATGCACTTTCGATAATTTTTTGCATCAAACTTTTTGATAGCCACACATCAAAAAGACAACTTTACCCAAGAAGCTAGATATTTCGATTTTCAGCAATATCGCTTATTTTACCAGGCACAGAGTATCTTAATGCACACTTGTACTTAATCACTCTAAACTTTAAACCCAAATTGAAAGCTACTCAAATTTTATTTGGGAAACAAAAACCTTTGCTTCAAAATAAAATGAAATACTGAACCGTGGACTTCACAAGTAAATAACAATCCTAGCACAATAAGATGGAAATTAATATAGCCGATAAATCTAGTCGAGCAGGATCTCATTCAGAAAATTCTCTGAAATCTGATCATGACGCGATTCGACAAAATATCTTGAAATTTTATGTAAAGATAGTGGTTTTTTATGTTTATGTGTAAGTCAAATGAATTTTGACTTAAATGTGCATCATCAGTTCAAAAAATATGAAGAAAAGCTAGTTTCAATCACTTCACATCCACTCATAAGTTTTCTTAATTACAGGTCATTAATTCAAAGCACCAATTTTACAAAACAAAATTCGCAAAAAAAACTTTTACCCACCCTCCTACTCCTCAGCATTCGATACCATAACAACTGACTGTGTATTCACCGAATCGAGAAAAGTCAGAGTACAGAAAGAAATTTTATAAAACGAAAAAGAAAAAATAAGCAAAGCCCACCTGAAAATCCTGCACCGGAAGCCTTTTGCTTTGGTTTTCTTGTGTGAGCCCTTGCTGAGGCCGCTGATATTTTTCTGGTCGTTCCAGCCGCCATTTCTTATTTTTTCTTTGTATCAAAAGCCAATTCTTGCCTTGATATAAAACATGCAACAAATATATGCCAAAAACTCAGAGATCTAATTCAATCACTCAGTAAACAGACGAACAGAGTGCTGATATAGATAGGGTTCTGAACCTCGTGATAGGGTGTGGAACACGGAGGTGCTTTTAAAATTGGAAAATTAGCTTCGTCAACCCATCCAATTTGGGAATTGCATAGAAATTAGCTAAATAAAGAGGCCATTTTTCTAAAATAAATTTTGACTAATTTATCCATCTAAAATATCCCTTCTTTTAAATATTGCATAATAAGTCATTATAATATAGGAATCTTTCATTTTAATCCTAAAAATTAAATATTACTTGAATTTTAATAGATTTATTATTTATAGTTTTTAAATTTATATGATTTATTTTATTTTTGTTCAAAGTAGCACCACTAATTGGTATCAGAGTCATAGAGATTATGGAAATTAAAATAAGAAAAATAAATAATTATTAACATTTAGACGAAGAAAAATGAAGTTATATATTCTTAAAACATATTCATAATAAATTAAAAATAATAGCATTAACAATAATTAAAGAACTACTCAAAGAAATAAAAGAACGAATATTAAAAAATTAATAATATGATCAATAAAGGATAAGTATATATACGAAAATGAAAAAATTGTTAAAGTATATGAAGATGAAGAAAATAATTTATATTATAAAGAGAAATATGAGTGCAAGTAATAGTAGAGATTTGAAATTGAATAAATTACTTATAAAAATGGAAAAAATACAAGATATAATGTTAATACTATAAGAAATAAGAGTATCAAATAAAAGACAATTAATAAAGTTAAAATGTGAAAGATTAAGACTTGAGAGTAAATATTTTAATATAGTAAAAAAAGAATTGGTAAATACAGATATAACTAATAGAAGATTTGGAATAATCATAATAAAAAAGAAGATAAAAAATGTAAATTAACTTATATGTTAGAAAGATGATTAGAAAATTTTAATATGTCAATAAGTGAATATATGGAAGAATTAAAGTCATTAATAAAAATGTTAATAAATGATGTACAAGATTTAAGTAATGAAGTAAAAGAAACAAGAAACATATAAACATATTAAAAATTGAATTTAGAGAAATAAAAGAAAATAATAAAAATAAAGATAAAAAAATAGATAAAAAAAATTAATAGGAAAAGAAATGACCTAAATAGGAAAGAAACATATTGAGAAAGAGAATATAGTAATAGAAACGAAAGTATGGATGATGAATTTAGAGAGAATATACTACCTAAAATATTAGAAGAAGAAGAAGAAGAATCTAAAGAAAAAATATTAGAAAAATTAAAAGTAGAAGAAAAATAAAATAAAGATGAGTGAGGAATTAGATTTACTAATAGAAAATTTTGATCAATGTAGTTTAAGTGAATATCAAGTTTTAATGAATATTGGAGGAGTACATAATCCAATAGAAACCTCTAAACAAAAATTGCAAAAATCAAATGAAAGTTATGTACCTATATATAATAAACCATTTAAACAATTTTATGATAAAGTAAGAAATAGACAACCATCTAAAGGAAATAAATATAGGGACGGGTTTGAATTAAATGATGATTATGATAAACATATTAACCATTCACGAACAAAATTAGATTTAAATTGCAAAATAGAAACTAAAAAAACTTTATTAACTTATGCAGATTCAATGATATTATTCTTTTTATATAATAAAGATGATACATGGGAAAGTATTGAAAGAAAAATATATTTCTTAATAGTATCATTTGAATGAGATGTTAGAAATTAGTGGGAATAAATAAGTAATGATACAAAAATATTAATAAAAAGAAATGTGCAAATAGAGATAATAAAATCAGATAGACAATATATAGAAAAGTTAGTAAAATATATTTCGGATGAATTTTTAGAAGAAATTTGGATAAGAAATGCTGAAAGAGAAGCAATAAGAGAAAAAGATAATGCTAGAATTAAATTAATAAATTTAATAATATGTGACATGTGTAAAATTAAAGAATATACTTGTTAATTTATAAATTATTATTATGTTCAGTTCTATAGTAATGAAAATCAAGAAATATACCCAATATATGTATTATAAAAAATTACCAGGTTCATAGGGAATATAATTTAAAACAGAATTTGAAAAATATGTTATAGATAATATTATAATACCTAGAACTTTATGTTAAAAAATAAAATTTTTATTTGAAAGACTTGCATATATATGTCAACAAAGATAATTGTTGAAAAAAATCAGAAAATTAACTAGAATATGTTGTGAAGATATGGAAAATCCTATACATTAGGGATGTAATCCTGAAAGAAGGATTAACAAAAGAAAAAATAAAAATAAAATTTTTTAAAATTTTAGAAATTACTAAAAAAAATATAAAATTTAGAAAAAGATATTATAAAAGAAAAAATATCCCATATCGTAAACAGAAAAATAAAAGTCAATGTAAATGTTGGAATTGTGGATAAATAAGTCATATAAGTCCTGATTGCGATAAAAAGAAAGTTAAAATATTACAAAAAGAATATTTGAAAATAAAAGATGAATTAAATGAAATATCAGATATTGAACGATATTATAATCAAGAAATGTATATAAGTGAAATAAATTAATCAAAATCTGAATAAAGAAATAGAGGAAATAGAAAATAATAATATAAATATACAAGAATATAAAGGAATAGAAGGTTATGCATTAAAAGTTACATTTGATAATAATAAATTTAAGAAAATGCAAAAATTATCTTTAGATTTAAAAATAAGAAAATGTGAAGTTTTAGATAGAATTTGGAAAAAAGAAAGGATAGCATTAAATGAATGTCATAAAATTGAGAAAATTAAAGATATAAAAACAACATATGAAAATTATAAATTGAATCTTTTAACAAAAAATAGAGTTGAAAAACTATTAACAAATGTTAGTAAAAAACAAAGTGAAAAAAATCAATATATTTATTTAGTAGGAATACAAATAATGTTTAAATCATTATTCAGAGAAGGGATAGACTCACCCTTAACTATAACTAGGATTGTCAATGGGCCGAGTCAAGCTGGCTCGGCCCATGAAAGCATGAGCTCGGCTCGTAAAAAATGGGCGAGCTCGCCTCGCAAGTAAACGTCGTTTTTTTTTTTGAACAAATAGGTAACTTGGAAAATAAAAAAATAAATTTTTAAATCGTGAATTATATATAAAAAAATTAGGTAAAAAATTTAAACCCTTCTCCTTTATCCAGATTTGGGATCGGCTATTTAAAAAATTGTGTTGTTTGTTTGTTTGTTTGTTCGTGTACAATTTTTTAAAGAAAATTTCAAACAGTATTAAAAATTATTTTTTCCAGCAACGCTGTGCGCCTACACGTCTCCTTGCATATAATCTTTGAAAAAAATCCCTTCTAAAAATTGAAAGCGTAATCGAATGCCCTTTCAATTGTCAGAAGTCTTTACTTCGAAAATTATATAGAAGTCGTGAAAGACTTTTGACAATTGAAATGACAATCATTCAATTACCCTCTCAATTTTCAGAAGGAATTTACTTTAAAAATTATATGCAAAGATACGCACAACGTAGTTCGAGAAAAAAATTTAAAATGTAGATATAATAGTAGTAATAATACCATGTACTAACAAAAATTTAACTAAATTGGTGGAAAGAATTTTTTTTTATTTTATTTTTTTTATCTAAAAGAGATAGAAAAAAATAAAAAAGAAATTTTCATTTTTTTTTATTTTTCTTTTTAAAATAAATAAAATATAAACGCTCCTCCTTTATCTGGGCTTGGGATCGGCTACTTTAATTTTCAGTAGGTGGAGTTAAAAATTGTACATGAACAATTTTTTGTAGTGTGTACAATTTTTTAAAGAAAATTAAAAGTAACAATAAGAAAAGAAAAGTTCCATCAATATGATTAAATCAAATATCACTTACTTGACGACGTGCAATTTCGACATATTTATTTTGTAGTCGAAAATGAGCGTCTTGCCAATCCTTAACGCACATTAACGCTTCTAAAATATCTTCTTTCAGTCGGCTCGTGACCTCGCTCAAAACTCTTTTACTTACACTAAAAGCAGATTTCGAAACAACAGTGCTAATCGGAGGTGTCAGCAAATCTTTTGCAATCGCAGATATAACTGACCAACGTCGTTCATACCTTCGCCAGAATTCAATTGCTTCGTCTAAATTTTTTTTAATTGTTTTATCTGTTTACATATTTTGATTGAAATAATCAATTAATTCAGCAGGCAATGTATTATGGCTTGAGCCCGTAGATGTATGATGAGAATGAGATACAGATGGTGAAGACATGGTAGTAACAGTGGTAGTAGATGAACACATTGCAGATGAATCAAATCTATACGAATTAATGCCTTGAAATAAATTAAATATTTCCGCATCTTCTTCTTCAATTTCAGTGGAAGGAGTAGGTGCAGATGGTACTCGGCTAATATTAATACCCATTCGGTTCGCATATAATTTATACATTTCACATAATGTTTGCTCTAAATTTCTATATGTGATAGGTGTATCAAATGTTAAGGCTTTTGAAATTTGATCAATTATATATTTAGTTCCCGATAAATTATATCGAGGGTCCATCACGTATTTTAAAGGAAATAACATAGGCAAATCTTCCCAATAGTTTCTAAATTTAATTCCATAGCAATTATAATTTCACTAAAATCAGGGTCATTTCTGTATTTTTGAAATGTTCGTGCAATTATATAAGGACGTTCAAACACCATACAACTGGTGGGATAGTAAACGCCCGATAAAATCTTAGTGGTTTCATAAAAAGATATCAAAAATCTTTTAACTTTCAAAGTTATTTGCCAATTACGTTCAGTCAACATACCCTCGTCATCACTTCTAACATGTCTATTGTTATAAAAGTCAATTGTTAAATATTCAAAACTTTCACATGACTTTAATAACAAGTAAGTAGAGTTCCACCTATAATCTACGTCGCTAACAAATGTTTTAGCATTTTGCACTCCTATTTCGGCACAATAATCCTCAAATACTTGTTTTCTACTTGGGGAGATTGTAATATATATTAATGCATTCTTAATATTTTGAAATTCATCATTTATATGTTTTAAAACATCTTGAACAATTAAATTCAAAATATGTCATACACAACGAATATGAAACAAATACCCACCAAAATCAGGTTGTAGTACCCTATGCAAT